CGATGATGGAGCACAGATACTTTGCAGGTTGAATAGTCTGAGGTATGTGACGGACATAGGTTAGTCGGGGTCGGTCCTATTGAGCCTTTCTTTAAGATATACTAGATACTAGGTACTAGATAATAAGAGATACTAGGCGTCAATAGTGACCCCTATCCACATAATCAGTTAAAATTTCAACCCTACTATTTTGTTTCTCTCATTTAATACCTAAGATTCATTAAGCAAATTATTTTCAACATGATTAAATGTTAATTTATCTTATGTAGTTTATTTATTGATGAGGACAGTGAATATTGAAGGTATTTATAGTGATGAAGGGAAGGTGGTGAAGGGTAGGGAAGGTGGTGAAGGGTAGGGAAGGTGGTGAAGGGTAGGGAAGGTGGTGAAGGGTAGGGAAGGTGGTGAAGGGTAGGGAAGGTGGTGAAGGGTAGGAAAGGTGGTGAAGGGTAGGGAAGGTGGTGAAGGGTAGGGAAGGTGGTGAAGGGTAGGGAAGGTGGTGAAGGGTAGGGAAGGTGGCGAAGGGTAGGGAAGGTGGTGAAGGGTAGGGAAGGTGGTGAAGGGTAGGGAAGGTGGTGAAGGGTAGGGAAGGTGGCGAAGGGTAGGGAAGGTGGTGAAGGGTAGGGAAGGTGGTGAAGGGTAGGGAAGGTGGTGAAGGGTAGGGAAGGTGGTGAAGGGTAGGGAAGGTGGTGAAGGGTAGGGAAGGTGGCGAAGGGTAGGGAAGGTGGTGAAGGGTAGGGAAGGTGGTGAAGGGTAGGGAAGGTGGTGAAGGGTAGGGAAGGTGGCGAAGGGTAGGGAAGGTGGTGAAGGGTAGGGAAGGTGGTGAAGGGTAGGGAAGGTGGCGAAGGGTAGGGAAGGTGGTGAAGGTAGGGAAGGTGGTGAAGGGTAGGGAAGGTGGCGAAGGGTAGGGAAGGTGGTGAAGGGTAGGGAAGGTGGTGAAGGGTAGGGAAGGTGGTGAAGGGTAGGGAAGGTGGCGAAGGGTAGGGAAGGTGGTGAAGGGTAGGGAAGATGGTGAAGGGTAGGGAAGGTGGTGAAGGGTAGGGAAGGTGGCAAAGGGTAGGGAAGGTGGTGAAGGGTAGGGAAGGTGGTGAAGGGTAGGGAAGGTGGTGAAGGGTAGGGAAGGTGGTGAAGGGTAGGGAAGGTGGTGAAGGGTAGGGAAGGTGGCGAAGGGTAGGGAAGGTGGTGAAGGGTAGGGAAGGTGGCGAAGGGTAGGGAAGGTGGTGAAGGGTAGGGAAGGTGGCGCGGGGATGAATAGCCCGTAAGTGGTGGCCCTTTTGAGCCATTACCAGTATCAATAGATGATACTGGAGATCTGTGGAGATGCGACTGCACCCTGCGTGACGGGAAATATCTCCCGTGGTTTCACAGGATTGATTGATTGAGAAAGATTAAGCCACCCAAGAGGTGGCACGGGCATGAATAGCCCGTAAGTGGTACAATTTTTTTTGTTCAGTAATTCTTTTCAGTATTCTGAGGTTGCATTTAATCGTCAAGCTGTTATCGCGGGGGAGGATACTGCTTGTTTCACAGGAAAACATTTCTCTACTATATAGCAGCGCTGATTTTTATTTTTGAGGTGAGGTGAAGGTGATGATAAGGAGAATGCGTTAAGCCAGCATAACAGCACCGCTCCTGTTCCAGTAAGTCCACTACGGGCTCACCATAGCCCGTGCTACTTGCTCCGCTCCTGTGCCAGGTAAGTTACGGGCTCACCAAAGCCCGTGCTACTTGAAACGTGTTCCGAGCAGCTGAATCTATAACAACAACAGCCAGCATAACTACAGTACTTGGAAGGGACATGAGGACAAGGAGCTGGGATATAAGAGAACGGAGTGAGGGAACGACGCTCAAACCCTTGTAGCAATGGGATTCGAACGCCGACCCTGCATGATGCAAGGCTGCCGGTGTACCAACCGGACCAAGAGGACGGTACGCCTCACTCTAGTGACTTACCTGACCAGACAGTAGACACAGCAAGATATAACCACTAAATACATCAGAATGAGCCACACGGCCACGATCCAATCCCACGACTCTTTCATGTAATGTTTCTCAAAGAGTAAGTTCTTTTATCTTCCATAACAAATAAGATCTGAAAACAAGGACAAGAAACAATCCATTTCATAAATGGTTTTCTGACAGAGACAAACGCAGTGTTCGAATCTTTCAGCGAAACATAACGGAACCTTCGAGGACAGTGGAGTCTGGACTCCAGGATAAATATTCCAGGTCTCCACGATTGCCAGGATAGAGAGCGCTCACTGGAGAGTCGGTTTGCAAGTTCCAGACTAATTTATCGTCACAAGTGCCAAAGCAGATTAAAACTATTCAAATAACATCCTGGAAGATAAAAAAAATCCGTGTTCCTAACATTATCCATGCAGGAAATTTCCTGGTAAATCTATTGAACTTTGTATGTGTAACATTATCCTTCCAGGATACCGTCTAGAAGATCCGTCTTGCCCTATACTTAATAATATCCTTTCAGGACACCTCCTGGAATATCTACGTAACTTTCAACATAAGGTGACCTTTTCAGGATACTTCTTGGAAAATCTGTGTAACTTTCTACTTAATAATACCCTTCCAGGATACCTCCTGCAAAGCTCTATGTAAACCATCTTAGTAATACACAATGGAGTCACCCTGACGTCTTGAATCCATGAGAACATCTCTTTTAAGAGGACGAGGGATGCAACAGTCAGGTGTAAGACTGACGGCGACATCAACCCACGAACTGAATCACCTTGTTAAAAAATATATATCTTACCGTACATTAATCAAAGACAAGGTATCATATGACCACAATGTATCCTCACGGAGGATAAAATTGATACGAGTGTGTACACCCAGTGATACCTGACTCTGATACCTCACTCTGGTGATACCTCATTCTGGTGATACCTCATTCTAGTGATACCTCACAATGATACCTCACAATGATACCTCACTCCTCCCACACCTTTCATAACTCTGGAGTCTTTCTCAACCAATATGCTTTACCCTTGAACCCCCCCCTCCTCCCCCCCACCCATCTACTCCCTACTCATCTACCTCTACTTCTACTCCCACATTCTCGCCTCTCTGGCCCCCACCCAACAATTTTAACATAAATCACGAGAATCCCTGATTTCCCTCGAGCATAATAAAACGAATTACAATTTCTCAACAATTTTCCAGTATAATTCCACACTAGCAAAGTCGTCAGAAGTGTTCCTTCGGTAATGTATGTACATAATTAGGTTATTGTCTCTCGTATTGATATTGAGTCCCGCCCCCCTTACTTGTCTCGTTTGACTCATTAATCATAGTTTTTGTGTCTTGTGAGTGTTTAGAGGTGATTATGAGGAGATAGTGCTATACTCTATAGGACTTCCGGGGGGCATTTGAGGTATGCTAAGAGCTGCGGATATGAGAACAGACAAGCAACTGGGATATGAGAATATGCTAAGAGCTGGGATATGAGGACAGACAAGCAACTGGGATATGAGAATATGCTAAGAGCTGGGATATGAAAATAGACAACTAACTGGGATATGAGAATATGCTAAGAGCTGGGATATGAGGACAGACAACTAACTGGGATATGAGAATATGCTAAGAGCTGGGATATGAGGACAGACAACTAACTGGGATATGAGGACAGATTAAAGGCTGGGACTGGAGGGTAAACTAAGAATAAAGGCTAAAAGCTGGAACATGATACAAAGAGTAAGAGTAATGGTACCAACCACATGTACCATTGGGGGATTGAGCGCAGACCCTGCAAGAAGTGATGGCATCGCTGTGCCGAACAGTCCAAGTGGACCTACGAAAACTCTGCCTTCCCATCATTGTACAGACCCTTCACCTCAATTCTCACCATCCTTAAATTAACACTCAAATGCATATCGTTTCAAAGAAAATCCTTCGTTAAGTTCTGTAAGGTCGAGGCTTGGAACTTTACACCTACTCTAAGCTGGTAAAGAACTTATATATAAGACAATTCCTCAAACGCTCTCAACCTTTCACACCCTCCATCAATCCTCCTCACCATTTTATGTCTTGGTATAAATTCTGAGCCATTCAACTATGGCTCAACGCTCCATCCTCAACTTTCCCCTTGTATAACAACTGTAATATATATATATCCAAACTCATTCAGAGGAAAGACAATTAATCACAAATTTCATTGGTCTGAACTTTTAATTCCAGTTGACTATTGATGAGTCGGTGTGAGGCAATTCATCAATGTGTGCCTATTGTCCCTCATTACCTCTCGGGGCAATTAGTGATTATTATATTTGATGAGTAATGTGCAGCTCGCTAAGGGGAGGAGAGGGGGGGGGGGAATTTCAATGCCAGGCCGGGATTACTTATTAGATGTACGGCACTTTGATGACGGCACTCCGCTTGACGCTTCCACCACGTGTGTGGTGGAGGTGTCAAGGAAGCCAGGAAACACACAGCAGGAAGCAGCTCCGTAGCAGCTGTCTAACTCCCTGGTACCTATTTACTGCTAGGTAACAGGGGGAGGGGCATTAAGGGTGAAAGAAACTTTGCCCCATTTGTTTCTGCCTGGTCCGGGAATCGAACCCAGGCCACAGAATTATGAGTCCTGCGTGCTGTCTACTCAGCTACCAGACCACACACACACACGCGCGCGCGCGTGTGTGTGTGTGTGTACTCACCTAGTTGTACTCACCTAGTTGTGCTTGCGGGGGTTAAACTCTAGCTCTTTGGTCCCGCCTCTCAACCGTCAATCAACAGGTGTACAGGTTCCCGAGCCTATTGGGCTTTAGGTGTGTGTGTGTGTGTGTGTGTGTGTGTGTGTGTGTGTGTGTGTGTGTGTGTGTGTGTGTGTGTGTGTGTGTGTGTGTGTGTGTGTGTGTGCGCGCGTGTGTGTGTAATTACCAAAGTGTAATTACAGGATGAGAGCCACGCTCGTGGCGTCCCGTCTTCCCATCACTCTTTGTCACATAACGCTTTGAAACGTCACGTGTGTGTGTTGTGTTCTTCAGGTGGAGGAGAGCAACGAGGTGCGGGTAGTGCTGCGGGACCTGGAGCTGGGGGCGACGGGCACCTACAGGTGAATATGTTTATTGTTTGTGATGTGTATGTATATGTATGTATTAACACGATGTACTGAACGGGGTGAGAATAGCTTGAGCTACCTCATCCCTTTGTGTGTATTTTACCTCAATAAACTTATTTCAATTCAATTTCAATTCCTACAGGTGTGAAGTCATCACCGAGGCGCCGCTCTTCCACACCAAGTTCGGCGAGGGGAACATGACCGTCATCGGTGAGTATACCGAGAGGAAACTTAGTTTACAATCTCTAGAAAGACGACGATTAAGGACTTGTCACGACTGGAGTGGATGGGAGAGTATATTAGAGGAAGTATTAATAATGTGTTAAGGATATCACCACCAAGTAGAACATTAAACAATGAATACAGATGTGGTAAGTTTGCAGTCAGGAAAGACCTGGGTAAATACTGGTTTGGAAACAGGAGGTGTTTGTTTGGGGTGGATATAAATTAGAGCAGCCTTCTTGTGTTTATTCGCCTTTCTTCCTGTTTCTCAAGTCTCCTTCGTCCCTTCCTTCCCCCCCTATTTCCTCCTCCTCTTGTTCTGTCACCTCCTTCCTTGACTCCTCCTTCGACTTCTTCCCTTACTTCGGTGTCCTTATTCAACGCCATCTCCTCATCACCCTTCTCCTCCTGCCCCCCCCACCCCCCTCCTCCTCCTACCCACCTTCCAACTCTCCTCACACCACTCAAGGAAGACATCCGGATGCCATATTGTATAAAAATCTCACATAATGACCATGATTAGAACTCCGTCAAACTCTTGAGTGAGAGTTCTTGAACCAAAGAGATTTCCTAGACCGAATTTATGGCCGGAATACATCGTGGTCCGTGAATTTAAGGGTCGGAAAGGCAGACTTGGTAGGTTATTTGGCACACTTAATAACCCCCTTATATCAGCTACGGTCAATTTTAAAAAGAGTTCTACCTTGCCTATTATAAGGGCTGCCAGCCAAGCACGTATGACTATTGCTTAGCTGTTAAGTACACAGCTTCCTTTGATCTCTATATACCACATCTTTGAGTGGTTAAAATGTCCCTTCGGGAGAGAAGAGTAGCTGTGTGTGTGTGTACAACTGCTGGAGTTGTGATTTACCATTTTTCCACTTGAGTGCAAACTTATTGTATTTACTTGACTTTACTCGAGGGCCAATATCTCTAGTGACCTTGACAGGGGACAGGAAGCCGTGTCCCCGTCAAATGGAAGGTCGTGGAATCCGTGTGAAGCATGTGGACTGCAGGACCGTCCATTACCTATAGTCATTCGATGGAGGAGTGGTGTGTGTGTGTGTGTGTGTGTGTGTGTGTGTGTGTGTGTGTGTGTGTGTGTGTGTGTGTGTGTGTGTGTGTGTGTGTGTGTGTGTAATTACCTAAGTGTAGTTACAGGATGAGAGCTACGCTCGTGGTGTCCCGTCTTCCCAGCACTCTTTAACTTTAACACACACACACACTTGTGTGTGTGTGTGTGTGTGTGTGTGTGTGTGTGTGTGTACTTACCTAGTTGTGCTTGCGGGGATTGAGCTTTATTTCTTTGGTCCCGCCTCTCGACTGTCAGTCAACTGGCGTATATATATATGTCAGCTGACACTCACAGTGTCAGTTGATGCAGTTAATTGACACACTGTGCACAAGTGCATCAATTTCGTGTTGATGAAACGAATCACGTTTCCAGAACATCGTTAGTTACACTACAATATGGAATCTTGTAATATGGAAGACAGACCTAAGGTGTACAATTACTTTAGCGGGGGAAGGAATTCTAAGAATTAGCGCTTCGACTCATCTCTAATGCTTTTAATTACGAAGATTATTAGATTTTCTTGTCGGCCGAGAAGGGACCTGTGGAGTCTAAGGTCATCGCTGGATCTTAAGTAACTTTCCTGCCTCTTGGGTGATAATGTCCACACACCTCTCTCGCCTTGGTCAGTGACTTGGTTACTGTCATGGTCAGTGACTCATCTTGGTCACTGTCTTGGTCACTTCCCAGTCCGTCTTGTCACCCTGTTCATCACAAAAAACAATCCCCTTTAACCCTAATTTCTCGTCAGAAAGCTAATCCGTGATCTAAATCTTCTGCCAGAAACCCAATCTTCCTTGATTCTAATTTCTTGATAGATTTCTTTCTCCCTCGTCTAATCCTAGCCAGAAACATAATCCTTTCTCATCCTAATCGACTGTGTTGACCACAATCCCCTCCTCATCCTCTGTTCTTTGCAACTATTATCCTCAAATCCTTCCTATCCTGACCTTTGACCTTCATGACTGCTAACCACACCCCCCCCCCATCCATCCTCCCCACCACTGTCATCCTGATCAACAACAACAACATGCGCCATCCTTCGTCCTGTAACTATAACCTAACCATAACCTAACCACAACCTAACCATAACCTAACCACAACCTAACCATAACCTAACCACAACCTAACCATAACCTAACCATAACCTAACCACAACCTAACAGTAACCTAACCCTAACCTAACCATAAATCTCCATATATCGTGAAATTAACAAAATTCATACACTGCCATACAATCCAAACACAACAATTGAAACAATTGCATATCAAATCAACTTTAGGACATATTCCAATACACGTAAAATTGTTGATTATCATCCTCGATGAGAAACTTCAAACAAGACAGATTGTGGAGTTGATATTATACAACTTTATCAATTGTTCGCATCTCAGGAGGAAATAGATTTGGGAGAACTGGCAAAAGTCTGCTTCTGAGATTGAGAATCGAGTTTGAGGAAAAAAAAATATATATACAAGAATAAGATTTTTCCTTGTCGAGAAATGAGGACAACGAGACTTCGAGTTGATCACACCTATAGTAAGATATTGGGCAAAATAAAAAAATGGGAATTCTATTGAGAAATGATTACCTATTTTAGCCCAGAATTTGGTCTTCTTCAATTTCTTTCTGTCTCTTCATTCCTGTCCCTTCATTCTCTCCTTTCACTTCATTCCTTTGTAAATTAATCAAAGATCAATTTGATGTACTGGATAAAGCCCATCTATTGATCCCATTACATGCCAACAACCACATTTGAAAGATGAGTGTAGATGGTATAATTATTTAAAAGGTGTACCACCTCTGATACACTTGTGGGGAGCCTCGTCCTCTGAAAAGCACTCAGAGAAACTTTGTTTTTATCTCAAAATTTGTTATGAAGATTTGCTTCATCTTGGATCACCGGAGAATTGGATTCGGGCCTCAAAAGTACGAGACTATTCTCCTAATAACCAGGTCATGGATGCTCACAGTAAGGATCCCAGAAATACCTAATCATCTTTATCATACAAGATGCAAACCACAATAGCCTGAGAAATAACGAGTGAATCATTACTCATGAATCCGAAAGAAAAATATATCCTTTCGTTAAAGCAAAAGTATTAAGCGCCTTTAGAGCAGCAGTTGTCACCAGGTTCGTGAGATGTGACCTTCTGTTGACCAGACCACACACTAGAAAGTGAAGGGACGACGACGTTTCGGTTCGTCCTGGACCATTCTCAAGTAGATGGTCCAGGACGGACCGAAACGTCGTCGTCTCTTCACTTTCTAGTGTGTGTGGTCTGGTCAACATATTTCAGCCACGTTATTGTGACTCCTCGTCTGCATGTGACCTTCTGTTTGGCGGCCCGTGAAGTGAGGTGAGGCCTTATATTTTATCGCCGCGGTTCCTCGAACTCTAAGACCTCAAATATTACGGCCCGATGTCTGGAGCAGATGTTTGGCGGCCAGGATCAACACCAGGCTAACAGGGGCTCAGACATATGACATTACACCGGACGCACTTTCCTCCGCTAAAGATGTTTTTCTTGGCTTTAGTCATCTTGTGGTGTGGCTGACCTGGCCGACCTGGTCGACCTGGCCGACCTGGCCGTGTGGCTGACCTGGCCGACCTCCCCGACCTGGCCGACCTGGTCGACCTGGCAGAGGTCAGCAGGGACTGTCCACCCAGATACACTCATGTCACTTCGTAAATTAAACTTCGCGAAGTAATTTGATAAGTGACTGTACCTCTAATTTACTGTATCTGGTTCTCTCTTTCATTCAATTTCTGAAGAAATTAATAACCAATTTCAAGACGTTTTGAGGAGGCCCATGGAAGACCAGGTCCCGGATACGAGAGGACAACGCCTCAGACACGAGACTCAGCAATGCATCTCTCATAACAAGAGACAGAGCAATACTTGACAGATACACGATTAAACAAGTATCACCTGACGAATCACCAGACACAATGGTTAGTAACACCAGCTGCAGTGATCCTACCAGAGCTAGTAATGGTAGTTAGGAGTGGTGGTGAGGTGGTGGTAGTAGTGTTTAGGATGGAGGTACTTTAGGGTGGTGGTAGGAGTACTTAGGGTAGTGGTGGTAGTTAGGGGGAGACACTGAGAATGACGTTGATACCGCAGGAAGCCGAACGGAAGATATTTGACTCAGTGAATTGTGAAGAGATAAGAGAATACGTCCGTCTCGCTCCCGTGACACGACCGTGACACGACCGTGACAGATGGAAAAATGTGCGATATATCGAGCGACAAGATAGGCTACCCGGCGGTGTCCGGGGTCTCTGTCTCTCTCTCTCTCTCTCACACCCCTTCCGTCTGCCTCCGTCCCGTTCTCTCTGCCTCTCTTTCCTCCTAGTCTCTCCACCTTTCGTCCCTCTCCTTCCATCCCATTTCCCTAACTTCCCTCCCTTTTCCCATGCTCCCTCCCTCTTCCCATTTTCTCTCTCCCATTAGGTAAGGATTCTTCAGAATCATGAACACAAATTTACCCAGTTCAATAATGACTTAATTAACACATGTGGTCAGTATGAAATCTTGGATTCCGGCGCTAATGGCCGCTAGCAGTAACAGTTAAGTTTGCTCATCGCTGAATTAGTTCTCGTCTAGAAGGTAAAAGTGAGAGCTAATTACCCAATTTGACGCAGTATAAGACGCAACTAATTTATAAGCATTTGCCTACTGTCCGCCGGCAAGTGCAATCATGCCACACTGTGCAGTGCTTCATATTGAGTCATACCACAGTGCATGTCCGTATTTCCCGCCGGACATCATATAATATACACTAGGTTACCCACTGTCAGTCGTAGGGTGCAGTCGCACCTCCACAGATCTCCTGTATCAGCTCTTGATACTGGTAATGGCTCAAAAGGGCCACCACTTACGGGCTATTCATGCCCGTGCCACCTTTTGGATGGCTTAATCTTCACTGTCAGTAAAACATCAAGCTAGACAACAACTGAAAATCTGGTGAGTGTTCAGGCTATAAGAACATATGAGAATAAAGGGAGCTTCAGTAGTCTTTATTGGTCCATAAGAGGCACCTCTTATTTATATCCAACCAAATATACACCTCTCACACCTGTCTGTTGTTACACCTGTGCCTCTGGCACCTCTCACACCTGTCTGACGCTACAGCTGTGCCTCTGGTGTTCCACAGACCTGCCTGAGAGTGCGCCCGTTCTGGACGGAGCCAAGACCAGCTACCAGCTAGGAGAACGTGTCGCTGTAAACTGCACTTCGCTGTACTCCAAGCCCGCCGCGACGCTTGAGTGGTACATTAATGACCGCAATGTGGTGAGTACCTGTCACAGCTCCGCTCCTCTGCCAGGTAAGTCCACAACGGGCTCACCCTAGCCCGTGCTACTTGGAACTTTTAGTTCCGAGTAGCAGTATGATGGGGGTACAGGGATATAAGACTAGTATACTGTTTCATTCACAAGAAATACAAGTTTGTGAATTATTTGCTGCCTATCCTCTAAGGCAGACTCGTTAGATGTAAGTCACATATTGACTTATTAGAGAATGATATTCTAATCGATGCGGGGTCACTAATTTCCCGCTCCCAATCTAGCCAATCTAACCACACTACCCAACCCAGACCCAAACAAACTTAGTACTAATCTACCCTAGTCCTAACCTAATCTAATCCTACCCTAACCTAACCCAACCTTCTACCCTAACCTTGTTCTAACATAATCAAGTTATAATTACATTCACAGTATTAAGTATTAGAACCCAGACCTCACTACACAAAAGTAACTTTGAATATTTAATAAGAAATGTGACGTATAGACATTATGTTATATATTTAATTATTACAGAAGTGGAGAGTAATTGCTTTAGGTCATTCCCATCAGTCCACGAGACAATGTTCAGAGGCATCCAAAGGTTCAAAATACATCAATGTCACAATGTTCAAAATACATCAATGTCACAATGTTCAAAATACATCAATGACCTAATGCTCAAAATACATTAATGCCACAATGTTCAAAATACATCAATGACACAATGTTCAAAATACATCAATGCCACAATGTTCAAAAGACATCAATGTCACAATGCTCAAAATACATCAATGACCTAATGCTCAAAATACACCAATGCCCCAATGCCCAAAAGACATCAATGCCTCAATGTTCAAAATACATCAATGTCACAATGCTCAAAATACATCAATGACCTAATGCTCAAAATACATCAATGCCTCAATGTTCAAAATACATCAATGCCTCAATGTTCAAAATACATCAATGCCACTATGCCCAAAAGACATCAATGACAAAAATCTACAAAATACATCAAATGAAACAATGTTCAAACGAGTCAATACAAAACTTGGACACTGATTACAAACATCAGAACCTTCCCCCCCCATACCATCTCCAAAAAACAAAAAACAAAAAAAAACAGGAGCAATAAATCAATAAATCACTACACAAATGAGAGATGTAAAATCTTGCACTGTCATCTCTCTGCAATCTGTGTTTACGAAGACATAAAAACTTGGAAAAAACTAACATTGGACGATCGCGTCTTCAAAGTCGCTCTCATTTACTTGCACAACCAAAACTTTCCAGGAAAGAGCGAATTCTTTGCCCGAGACAGACTCTCTTAAGGTTTCAACAATAAGAAAAGTAATTCTGTGTCTCAAGAAACTATTTACAGCTGTCTGTTAGTCCCTGTAACTTACAGCTGTCTGTTAGTCCCTGTAACTTACAGCTGTGTGCTAGTCCCTGTAACTTACAGCTGTGTGCTAGTCCCTGTAACTTACAGCTGTCTGCTAGTCCCTATAACTTACAGCTGTGTGCTAGTCCCTATAACTTACAGCTGTGTGCTAGTCCCTATAACTTACAGCTGTCTGCTAGCCTCTGTAACTTACAGCTGTGTGCTAGTCCCTGTAACTTACAGCTGTCTGTTAGTCCCTGTAACTTACAGCTGTCTGTTAGTCCCTGTAACTTACAGCTGTCTGTTAGTCCCTGTAACTTACAGCTGTCTGTTAGTCCCTGTAACTTACAGCTGTGTGCTAGTCCCTATAACTTACAGCTGTCTGTTAGTCCCTGTAACTTACAGCTGTGTGCTAGTCCCTATAACTTACAGCTGTCTACTTGCACTGTAACATGTAAGGTGTATGATTGTGTACGCACCTATTTGTGCCTGCAGCATCGGGCATTAGCTCTTGGACTCCTCTTTTTCAACCGGAGGTTGTCTATTCCAATGACCTCCTTCCGTATCATATCCACTTTCAGCATTAAGAATGGAGTTTGTTCCTTGTAACTCATTCCATTCTCCCGCTACTCTTATACTACAAGAAAACCTCAAGGATGTTCTGACTTTCGTTAGCGTAGAGTACGCTGCTGTAAGGACCTCCTGGCATTATAATTTCACTTGGTCCGTCATTTTATGAACTGTCCTCATAAGTGTCTCCGCCCACTGTATACCTTCTAGATTCTCTCTTACTTTCACGTAGTCCTCTTTTTCTATCGTCTATCCCATCTGTTCCCTCACCCCATTTATTTTGGTAGCGGTTTTAAGTGCGATCAAGTCAAATGCCAGGACACACACACACACATTGTGTGTGTGTGTGTGTGTGTGTGTGTGTGTGTGTGTGTGTGTGTGTGTGTGTGTGTGTGTGTGTGTGTGTGTGTGTATTCACCTAGTTGTGCTTGCGAGGGTTGAGCTTCGACTCTTTGGTCTCGCCTCAGCACTAAGCCATCATGACTATGATGACCAAACCACACATCAGAAACCGAAGAGACGACGAGTACGTTTCTCGTCACGCGACTTGATGATGGTCCAGGACGGACCGAAACGTCGTCGCTTCTCCATCTTCTGACGTCTGGTTTGGTCATCACGTCTTGAGGCACGTTATTGTGACTCGTCGTCTACGTTATGAGACGAATATGAGGCGTTAGGACACTATGAGGCGTTGGGACAGTATGAGGCGTTGGGACAATATGAGGAGTAGGGATATGCGGGACAAGGAGCTGAGATAAGAGGGAAAAATAGCCAGGATATGAAAACAAGGAACTGGGATATAAAGACAAAACTGAAATATGAGGACAAGGAGGTGGAATAGGACAGAGGAAAGAAACGGCGCGCAACCCCTTCAACCATCGGGAATCGAACGCCAACCTGCAAGAAAAAGCGAGGCGGCCGTTATTCCAAACAACACAAAAATGCACCCTTTGCAACACAAGAAACAGCCTCCCCAAAATGCTCGGTGAAGTGAGTAATATCAGCTTTTGTGCTTCCTAAGTTGCAAAAATATAATGGCATGTTTCGAGTGGAGGCTCGACCAGTGACTGGAGTCAGAGCCAGGCGAAGGACAAACAGCGCCGTTAAACTAAGATTGTCCAGCGATAAGGCGGAGAACGGCACGCGACCCCACACTATTACTGGAGTCTTTTGTGAAAAGTTTACCCCCGGGCTCTTGCACAAGACGTGGGGTGATAGGGGGGGGGAGGGAGGGGGCTGGTCTGTTACTTCGATGTCCTCTGTGTCCTGGTGTCTGTTACTTCGATGTCCTCTGTGTCTTGGTGTCTGTTACTTTGATGTCCTCTGTGTCTTGACGTCTGTTACTTCGATGTCCTCTGGTGTCCTGATGCCTGTTACTTCGATGTTCTCTGTGTCCTGGTGTCTGTTACTTCGATGTCCTCTGTGTCTTGATGTCAGTTACTTCGATGTCCTGTGTGTCCTGACGTCCACTGCATCTATGCCCTCGTAGCTCTAAGGGAGGAACCCTAGACTGTGGCTATTGGCAGATTATATGTGTTCTCTGGATCGTGGTTCAGTGCAACACTCAACGATTATTCGTAGTGATAGCTGGCCCGTGTTTACACACCTTGGCTCTCTGCTCAACAGTGCCAGGTGTGTGTCGGGGGATAGTGGCAGGTGTATGACGGGAGGTAGGTGAGGCAGTGAGGTGCAGGGGTCGTTTGACCACCCTGGGGTTGAGAGGGGTGGAAGGGTCACCGTAGGTCACATATAGGGTCATATATAGACACCTGCCTCTCCCCCTCTGTGGTCACTATGTCCCACGACACTATTTCTGTTTTCTTTAACCTTTTTGATTTCTGTCAGTTTGCCAGGTATTTATTCACTATTATACACTTTAACATTGGGATATTCCCAGCTTATCCTTCACGAATTAAGAATAAACAAAGAACGGAGCTCCCCCAGCCCTTAACCCCCCCCCCCCCGCAGTGTGTGTACTCACCTAATTGTACTCACCTAATTGTGCTTGCGGGGGTTGAGCTCTGGCTCTTTGGTCCCGCCTCTCAACCGTCAATCAACTGGTGTACAGATTCCTGAGCCTACTGGGCTCTATCATATCTACATTTGAAACTGTGTATGGAGTCAGCCTCCACCACATCACTTCCTAGTGCATTCCATTTACTAACTACTCTGACACTGAAAAAGTTCTTTCTAATGTCTCTTTGGCTCATGTGGGTACTCAGTTTCCACCTGTGTGTGTGTGTGTGTGTGTGTGTGTGTGTGTGTGTGTGTGTGTGTGTGTGTGTGTGTGTGTGTGTGTGTGTGTGTGTGTGTGTGACCAGCAACAAATACATAAGCTGTTTGACCAGAAGCATTATGTGGAGAAAAAAGTCACGATTTCAATTCATATTGAAGTACAAGATTACACTCACATTGATAATCTGTCCCAAAAATGTGATGCTTCTTCGATATAATATTGTGGCAGTACTGGGATCGAACTGGCGACCCGGGACTTCCCAGGCACACGCTTCATGGTTCAGTCGGAAATGCTTGTGCTTGGGGCGCCCATGGACGAGGGTTCGAGTCCAGTGTATAACCTCCATATTTGTTCGTATAAATGTTATTTAAGTCAAGCGACTACTAACAGAAAGATTGCTGCCAAGTCAGCTCCAGAAATAGTTTTGTAAGACTTATCGTAAGACAGAAGCGATTTCTTCATGCAGTCATGGCGACCAGTGTATGACACCGATTCCAAATTGAAGTTTACTAGAATAAAATAGCCCCAGCAGCTAAGAAAAGATCAGAAACAAATCTTGCCGAAGCATGATATCATGCAAGATGACAGGTGCATGGGTTAACGAGATTTTGATAGCCAAGAATCTTCCTCCGCGTTTGACGACAGGGAAAAACTACTCTCCAACACACACACACTCTAGACGTTCAGCCCAAATAGCAACACAATCTGATTACTGCACATCTGCATGGAGGCGCTCGCCTCACGATCAACACTGCACTGAGAGACCTCTAGAGGTCAAGAGGGAGTCATGCCAACTATGGTTGACGTCTTACCGCTCATGCAATGGGTTCACGGACTCCTCTGCATGGTGCACCAACTCCCAGCTCCTATTAGAGATGGCCTCAGCTACAAAGGGACTGAGTAAATGGCTTAGCTTTCCGCTTACTCAACCTTAATCAAAGGGAGGAGAGTAGGAGGAAAGCGGCCGACGTACAGGAGCCAGGTCGGGTGCGACGCTCTGGTGGTGGTTGGCCTCCGACAGCGACGCCAGGGAGGCAGATGGCTTCCGACGGCGACGCCAAGGTAGCAGTTGGCCTCCGACGGCGACGCCAGGGAGGCAGATGGCTTCCGACGGCGACGCCAAGGTAGCAGTTGGCCTCCGACGGCGACGCCAGGGAGGCAGATGGCTTCCGACGGCGACGCCAGGGAGGCAGATGGCTTCCGACGGCGACGCCAAGGTAGCAGTTGGCCTCCGACGGCGACGCCAGGGAGGCAGATGGCTTCCGACGGCGACGCCAGGGAGGCAGATGACTTCCGACGGCGACGCCAAGGTGGCAGTTCGTCTTGTGGTCACGTGGCCTGACTTCGAACTTATTTGCACTCTTTCAGCTTGGTGCTCGGTACGGTAACAGCGTTTCGTCTTCCAGGTTCGGCGTTCGATTCCCATTGGTGTGCACCATTCCATGACTCCGTTCTCATATCTGAATCACAACACACTCGCAGTTACTCACAGGGTGAATTCTGACTCATGACTCACCGACATTCAATAGCCACAGTTGCATCGTGCCCCAAGGAGACATGTACTCAGTCCTAGATCTCATCTTTACTCTGACTCATAAATCATAAAAAAAAATCTCATTCAAAACTTACAATGACCCAGGACTCTCATGCACTCTGACACACACAGGACTCACACACTCTAATATGCAGGACTCAACGTGAACTTTGTCTCTAGTGACTAATTGTTCTTTCCCCCTTAATTATATTTTCACGGAGCTTTATAAGACAAACTCCTCAATTCATCCTGTTCTTTCCTCCTTCGTGATTGGTTAGAAAGACGCTGTTCTTAGCTCACATGATCACACACATCGCTAACTGTTCTGGCTTGGAGAGTACGGTAATATATATACCTCCATAATGTGTATTTAATCACCTGGTTGTCCATTGTTAGTGTGTAAGAGGGTGGTTGTCATGGTTACTGTGTCAAACGCTTACTGTTTTTAGTTCACTGTTAGGAATAAAAAAGAGACATCACATTGACTGGTATTGATCAACGAGGCTGTTGTTAACCTACACTTCGCTTCATCATTAACTACGTGTTCGAAATAGTCCCTATCCCTTACTGTTAGAGAATTAGAGCAGAAATCATCAAGCATTTACACGTCTATTTACGAAACCTGTACATCTATTCTTGACCATGACGGCTTGGTCAACACTAAACACCTTATGAACTTGGAACTTAGCAACCCCAAGGTCATTATTGCTATAGACAACCTAATAGTGCTTCGGTGCTCATAAACTGTTTCATAAACGCAATCTAAGCCGCCAACGATTACGGAAAGATGTACAGTTTTCGCAAATGGACTCATAGAGGCTTGAAGAATCCTGATCCGAGGCTCCAAATTCTGTGTGTCAAAAACCTCCGGTTAATCTCCCCAGACGCAGACGCGGTTCTTAAGACGATACCAGCCGCAGAAGGAGCCGGACGGGCTGGAGACGGCCGTGCTGGGCCTGACCTTCGTCACCTCCCGCAGCCACTTCCCGCAAGGGGAGATGAGACTCAAGTGTGTGGCCAAGATCGCTACCATCTACTTCCAGTCCCAGGAGACCTCTGTCATCGAGACCGGCTTCCTGCCTCACACACAGGCCAAGGAAAGCCATCACAATGGGCAGTTTTTCTTCTTCGGTAAGTATATATATATATATATATATATATGTCGTGCCTAATAGCCAGAATCGCACTCCTTGGCCTAGTTTCAATGGTCCGATTATTTTCAAATATTTCTTTCAGGATTGGTGCTTTCCCAACAATAGTTATTATAATCTGTTCCTAATGTAATAATCTGTTACATTAGGAACATGAATTATACCTTTAATTAGGTTAGGATAGGGTAGGTTAGGTTAGGTTCGATCCAATTTCCATGTTAATTCAACTAAATTAATTTCCTATATAATGTAATGGAAAGTTAACCTAATCTAACCCCCGGGTACCTGTTACTGTCAGGTGAACAGTTGGATTAGGTGAATGAAAACTTGCTTACCATTTCTGTCCCGCCCCGAGGTCCAACCCGAGGAACCTTCTGTTGCGAGTCGAGGACGTAGCCCACTGAACTACAGCTGCATCCTTAAGCGACAGTTTAAGAGTGATATATTACGGTTGCATGACGCATATACATGTTGTATAATATACACCTTGTATAACTACAACTGTCTCTTGTGATTATTTGTATTTCTTAGTGAGACGTAATGAATGATGAATGCAGACGTTCCCAGACGAAACGTAACTATAGCTGAAGACGATGAGTTACAATAATGAGGCTGAAGATATGATGACCACACCACACATCAGAAGATGAGGAGATGACGTTTCGGTCCATCTTGGACCATTATCGACGTTTCGGTCCATCTTGGACCATTATCGACGTTTCATTCCATCTTGGCCCATTATCGACGTTTCGGTCCATCTTGGACCATTATCGACGTTTCGGTCCATCTTGGACCATTATCGACGTTTCGGTCGGTTCGGTTCGGTTCGCTTGGCTCTCTGCTCAACAGTGCCAGTACTGCTTCTCCATCTTCTGAGTTGTGGTTTGGTCATGATAAATACAGATGAATTTATAATTTAAAATTCAAGAATCAGACATTTTAAAGAGAAGAAATCCTGCGGTCAAAGAAACTGCAATATATGTAATTAAATAAAAGTAATTAAATAAAGCTTTCCAGCATTCGGAGAAGTAAATCAAGTGAGTCTGTGAGTCTGTTGGTCTGTGAGTCTGCGAGCTTGCATTCACCTAGTTGTACATATCTAGTTGTATTTGTGGGGAATGGACCACAGCTCTTGGGTCCCGCTTGTCAATTCATAATCGACTAGTGTCATAACTATTATTAAAGCATTGTATAGAGTCTGCCTCCACTACATTAACTTCTTTGTTAATTTAATCTGACACTGCAAAATATTCTTTCTAATGTTACTGTGGCTCATTTGAGTCCCGTACTTAGGTTCCATTTGTGTAACCTTGTCTACCCCTGATAGTCTGCCCTGTCTATTCTCCTGGGTATTTTGTATGTGGTAATCATGTATCCCTCATTACTTCTCTCTACCATTGGCGTGAGGAATAACCCCTGTAGTCTTTCCTCGGAGTTCATACCTCTCAGCTATGGAACTAGTCTGGTGGCATACCTCTGAACTTTCTCCAGCTTCGTTTTATGTGTTTAACGAGATATGGACTCCAGGCTGGTGCCGCATACTCCAGAATTGATCTGGCATAAACAATACACCAGACTCTAACGTCCTCTTTGTTCAAATTCCTAAAAGATGTTCATATGTTTGTTAATCTTCCGTATGCAGCTGTTGATATTAATTTGGCGAGAGCTTCTGATGATACCTTGAAGTTACCTTGAAGTATTTCCGGGGCTTAGCGTCCCCGCGGCCCAGTCGTCGACCAGGCCTCCCAAATCACACAAATGAAAACAACAAACGGCATTTCAAGGCAATTGCTGGCTGCCATATTGCTATGTTGCTCTCCATGTTGAAGACGTGGCTGCCGTATCGCTATATTGATCTCCTTTCATGTTGCAGAGTTGCCGGAGTCTTACAGGAGCCCTACAAAGAATCCTTATATATCTCTCCCTCCTAATGGAACACTGCCTGTCAGCCGCAGGACGCTAGACTTTGACTCAGCCTCTGAAGGAATTTTATCCTTTACTTGCTAGTCTTACACTATCCCTTCTCGCTAATCTGGCGTCACTTTATTGCATTTAACTTGTGACTTTCATGTTGACTTCTACAGAGTATTCCTGCTGGACGAATTATTCCTTCCACCCTCGTCCCAACCTCGTCCCTTCCGACCCCCTGACCACTTTCCTTCCTCCTCTCAGTAATGATTCAGTAGGCGTCAAGTTTGAAGTGGTTTTCCCTCTTACGCAGAGGCGTACGAACCTAGGAAGGTCACCTGACCTATGGAGGCGTCTTTATTCCGAGGAACCTTCGGTACTTTGATGCTAAAGCGTAGGAATTTTGTCGCTCAGCGTCAAAATCGCATTGCATTAACTGTCAGGACTGTGAGGGCGGAGTAAGGCGAGGCATCTTGGACTGTGTGGGAGGAGCAAGGCGAGGCATCTTATTCTCAACGTCTAGACAAATCAATCTCCCAAGCCAGTATCTTGACGACACAGCTGACAACATCTCGACGAACCATTCCCCCTCTCACGCCAGCATCTTGACGACACAATAAACTCTCCATCCTGACCTAGTCTTGAGAGTAACGAGTGTCAGTAAACGTCTCCCAGGACATACCAAGCCTCCCAGCCATCCGTCTCCTCGCAATCAACCACCAAAATGCTTCGTGGTGGCCCACACAGGCAACAGTGAGCCCCCGTCCACGGCGATAACGTCCGCTCGTGCCCCGTGTTGGTTATGGACTGACGCTCGCTTCCCTTGACGGCCCTGCATCACCCCTCCACCCCCTTCCCCCTCCGGGTGTTCTGCTGGTACTCTCTGATTGGCTGATTGCTTAGATTCCTATCTTTTGTTTTCGAAGAAAGGTGTAGAAGAATATATATATGTTGCGATATCTTGCAATTCGTATTGGTGTAATTGTATTATTGTCATTATTTGTTAATTATCGTTAGATTTGCTAAATACCGCAGTATAGGATTTACATATTTTATAGATGGTAAAAGAAGGTACATTTGATCAAGTTGATTAGTTTACATTTAGTAACACTGAAGAAAATATGACAAATTGCAAGCTTTTATCAGCTACGAATCAACTACCCTGATTGTATCCAGCGCTGGTACTGTGTATCCAGCCCCCTGGTACTGTGTATCCACCCCTGGTACTGTGTATCCACCCCTGGTACTGTGTATCCACCCCTGGTACTGTGTATCCACCCCTGGTACTGCAAAATTTCATAGGAATGATCAACGTTTTAATTTTGAAGCCTTCACCAACAGGCGGCATAACTCGGACAGTTTCCTCCTTATAGTTTCCCGAAATGAACTAATGTTCTTCCTGACTTCCTCTACAATGTTATAATGCACATCATTAATGTCCCTTACAGAGTTGGAAAGCCCCCGGGCTTTCTGCTTCCTTATTCATCATCTAGTATTATAATGTTCCTTCTCCCTACTCCGATATGTTGTTGATCAATATTGGTGTCTAATTGCAGGCAGCGGCGGGGTCAAAGGAGGCGGTGTGGAGTGGGTGACGTTGGTGCTAACAGCCGTAACTGCTCTCAGCATCTAGACTGCCCACCGCAGAAGTCTTCGGCTCATCCCGACCATTCTCTTCAACACTTCGCTGCAATATTCAGATCGCCTCAGCATCTGGTCGACGTCACATTCGTCCTCAGCGTCTCTGGACCTGATACCCTTCCTCGTCGCTTAAGACAGCTGGTCCTGATTACTTTCCTTAGCCCACAAAACATCTGTTTAAGACAATTTCCTTCAGCACCTTGAAAGGTGGTGTTTCCCGACCACCAACAAAGGAATCCAGAGTAACACACGCGTCAAGGTGCACAAGGCCGAAATTCCAGTACATGGCCATGCATTTTGTACTTTACCTCTCCCTCAGGCCATGGCCTAGTCCCTGGACGATAGTTCTAGTTGAAGCACATGGGGCCTCGTACCACTACGAACTCCAGGTTGAAGAATGGGAAGCCACACGTGGCCACCAGCTCTCAAGACTAACGCCGACGTCCGACGATAATTATTGGCGGGAACACGAGGCTAGTGATATTATTACCTAGGTAACCCAGAGTCCCATCGTAGCATTTGTCTACATATAAACTTTACCATTTAAGGAGTGACAATGCATCAATCGGAAGTAATTTCAATTGTACTTCACGTTTTGAAAAAAATAAACGGCTGTTGATAGGCACCACTTGAAGGTCAATTAGACACCAAAACCAATGGAGAGTTAGAGCTTATTATCCAAAACAAAGAATCATTTGAATGTTGCTTTTAGTGTTAGAAAGATAACTGTTTACTGTATGCTTTTTGACGCTCATTAGTCGACAGTTCATTCTAACGAATTGACGCTCCGTAAAAATTGCAATGTCTCGCCTATCTAGGAACGTTGGAATGTTATCGAGGCAGATCATTTTGACAGGATGGTCTTCTACGTAAAAAATATGACGTATCAGACGAGAGGACAGGGATGCACACCCATAAACATGGAATGAATTACACAGTGATCCATTTGACAACATTCGATAACATACCTCAAAGTTGAACGTGCATATTAAACCAGTACTCATGAATGTGTATATAAAACCCAGTGTTCATGAATGTGTAAATTAAACTAGTGCTCATAAATGTGTATATAAAACCCAGTGCTCATGAATGCTAACATTAAACCAGTATTTATAAACATTTACATAAACCATAGCATAAAATATGTACATTGAACAAGTATTCACAAATGTGTGTGAATTAAACCAGTGCTCATAAATTTGTACATTACTCAAGTGCTCATAAATTTGTACATTACTCAAGTGCTCATAAATTTGTACATTACTCAAGTGCTCATAATTGTGTAGACATTACAACAGTGCTCACAAAGGTGTAAATCACACCAGTGCTCACAAATTAGCCAAATAATGACAACAGTGACAAACTAAGCAACAAACATTGTGATGATTTATATTTTTCAAATTTGTAAACAGTTTGCTTTATGATGAGGCTAAAGAAGGAAATACGAAAAGATAAGTGATGGACGAAAAAAAACAACAAAAAAGGTGAAAAGTTAAAACATGACAAAGAAAATAGACTTAACCACTATTATTTCTCCTTGAAAATATCAAACAATTTGTCAACATAAAATGTTTTTTACAGAATGTTTTTCTTCTCTCTGCATCTGACACTGTTTGTACATCTGTTCTACATCTGGCATTATATTTCCCTAATGTTATTATTCCTGATGGCCACGGGAAGGTGTAATGAATTCATTGTAATCCAATTTGAGTTCGGATACTCTATGGGACACGTCGGTCTAAATTATTACAGAGCTTCAGTTACACTTGCATGTTGAGAGCGAGCAATTAATATTACGTTTATACTACGTTGTTTTATTTTAGTGGAAGAAGTGTGACAAAGATGGACACGAACAAGAATTATTGACTAATTTGGACGCGGAGAAGAATTGTTGACTAATTAGGGCGTGAAAAAAGAATTATTGACGTATCTGAAAATAAAGAAGAATTATTGACTAATTTAGACTTGAAAAATAATTATTGACTAAATTTGACATGAAATAATTATGGACTAATTTGGACGTAAAGAAGAATTATTGACTAATTTGGATGTAAAGAAGAATTATTAACTAATTTGGACGTAAAGAAGCACTATTGACTAATTTGGATGTGAAGAATTATTAGCTAATTTGGATGTTAAGAAGAATTATTGACTAATTTGCTTATTAATTTAGGCGAGTTTTTACGTATTTATATAATCTGTTTCTTTGTTTACTTATTTTCGTTCTTATTTTTGTACTTAATTACGTGTGGAATTAACATTAAATTTCCTGTTATCTCTTTATCCCCCTCACCTATCTCGATATCTCTTTCGCTATCTCTTTAACCCTTTATCTATCCCTTTCATAATTATTATAATATTTTTCTATATCTCAATATCTGTTCCTTATTTTTTCTCTCTCTCTCATTCTTAATTTTCTCCTTCGTTCTGTCCTCTCTAGTGAGTTCATTTGTAAGAATTTGCATATATTAATGTATGCCCCATACAAGTGGATATTATGTATAACTGTATACTATGTATAATAATGCATATCACATTCGACGGTGTATATATATATACATATATATATACCACGTACGGTTGTATAAAGCATACAGTAGTGTTTACTAGATACAAGTGCATATCGCATACAATAGTGTATGTGTACAACATACAAGTATACATCGCACTCAGTAATGTATACTACATGCAGCATTGGATACCAACAGTGTATAGAGCATACACCAGAGCATGCTACATACACTGGCGTGTGTGTATCTCTAAGAGTGTGTATAGCATACAGGAGTGAGCAGCCTGGGCGCTAACCCGATCATAAGGCTCTGCTCGTCGTGTGTGTGTGTGTGTGTGTGTGTGTGTGTGTGTGTGTGTGTGTGTGTGTGTGTGTGTGTGTGTGTGTGTGTGTGTGTGTGTGGAAAAACCACAGTGAATTGGAATAAAAACAGCTGAAACGTTTTCGACTTGTTTTTTATATATATATATATATATATATATATATATATATATATATATATATATATATATATATATATATATAATATACTATAGTTTTATGTATAGTTAGGCGTAGGCTACGTTAGGTTAGATGTTTAGGTTCTGTTGACAAGTATCTGAATTTGTAGTAGGTGGGTGAAGCTATTTACAAAGTTGCAATTCGAACAGAGGTCGTCAGCAAAGCACTGTTCGAGAAAAGTTCGAACCCCATAATTTGCGAGCAAAGCGTGTGTCATTTATAAACAAAAAGGGGGTGGGGGGTGGGGTTGGAAGCTTGACTTTAACGAGCATTTGTCCATTGTTTATGCAACCCATCCCCTCGAATAGGACTTCACATTGAGAAAATCCCGAAAAATCTTTCGGGATTTGACAAATCCCGAAAGGTCAAAATACGACGCCTAGCAAAACTGACGAGTGATGTCCCGTTTTCTAATCGTGGGTCCTTGGTTAGGTTGCGTTCGAGCAATTTAGTACATCATTCTTGTGACGTGACAATTCGATAGAACGGGCTGGTTAATGAGGACAAGCTGGTGGGTACAGTGATCAGTGCGGTTGGCTCGCAACCGACTCATCCTGCGTTCGAATCCTGCGAAGGAGGAGAAGCTGGGCAAGGCTTCCTACACCCGCTAGAACGAAATAGGAGTTTAGTCGACTGTTGTGGGTCGCATCGTGACCAATGGTCAAACACGGCACTATTTGAGCAAGGCTCGAATTTCTCAACTAATCAAATTAACAAATCATAACACATACATCAATGTATACCAGATACAACACCGTATACCACGTACAGGTGCGTATATAGCATACAGCAGTGCATACCAGCTTTAACACAGTATATTGTATTCAACAGTACATACCACATACATGTTAAAGTGTATTCTACATGGAATACGTGATACCACCTACATCAGTGTATACTACAATACCACATACAACACTACACAGAGAACTACATAGATCACATGCGACAATATATACTAACAATATAATATAAACAACAGTTTCGCATATACCGCATACAACAATGTATACACTATACAGCAGTGTATACCAGATAAAACAATGTATACCACATACAACACTTTACAATCAGCAGTATACACCGCATACACTTTACACAGAGAACTACATATATCACACGCGACAATGTATACCATAAACCACTGTGTATACCGCATACAACAATGTATATCGCATACAACAATGTATACCACATACAACAATGTATACCACATACAACACTTTACATTCAGCAGTATACACCAAATACAAACCTGACCAGCGTAATAATCCCTCCTTTAGGAGCCATCACTCCCAACGCGTCCACACCTGTTCCAAACCTGTTTGCTAATCCCTTACTGTTTGCTAATCCCTTATAGCTAATTTTAGTGATACCCAATTTGTGCATCGTTGTCATTAATTTTAATTGTTCACATTACGAGTTAAGCGCTTGTAAAATGAAATGATTAATGTTAATTTATACCGTGACGAATTGTTATGAGTTAAACAGTTTGTGCCAGTGGCGGTACTGTAAATTATATTGATCAGTTAAGTAACATGTACTTTTGTTCGTGGTGCAACCTTTCTTTCTTTCTTTCTCAGCTATTGCAAGCAGAATGCAATGAACATCTCCGGTCTCGGGTAACTATGTTGCAAGCTGGTGGCAATATCATGGCAACTAGATAAAGTCGAATTGGAGAGAGAGAGAGAGAAAAAAAGAGAGAGAAAGAGAGAGAGAGAGAGAGAGAGAGAGAGAGAGAGAGAGAGAGAGAGAGAGAGAGAGAGAGAGAGAGAGAGAGAGAGAGAGAGAGAGAGAGAGAGAGAGAGAGAGAGAGAGAGAGACAGACAGACAGAGACAGAGATCCAGAAACATAACCAAAGACAGAGAGAGAGAGAGAGGAAAGAGAAAGATAGAGACAGAGACAGACATTCAGAAAGACAGGCATACAAATATTGAACAAAAATGATCATACAATTATATAAAGAACAAAACTAAAAGGTACTACACATTTTACTTAGGCTACCCACCGTTTGTTAAAAATGAAATTATAATCAAATGTACATTAAGCATGAAAGACAACGTGTCCAACCAACAAGTCTTTTTAGCAAGCGGCCAAAATAGTTTTTTAATACCTATAATATGTGACGGACAGGACAACCCAACAAAAGCTATGGCGAGTGTGAAACAGCATCGAGTGCATTGTGATACGTTT